ATCTGCTACTTAAAAATGAAACAGGCAACAAAATAGATAGTACATATTCGGGTCCATTTTTAATTAATGAAGATTTAGGATGTAATGATAAATAATAAGGAAGAAATAGTCCACAAAAATCGCACAAAACATTATATTATGTAAAATACATAAGTAAAGTAGGTACCCACATAATTAATTTAAGTACCTTATTGTATACAAAATAATAATTATTATTATAAAATTAATAAAAATAATATATTGCTTTTTGACTACTAAACAAAATAAAATGTAACTAACTATATTACCCTTTGTAACTATGCTATAAGAAAATATATGTATAAGTACTTGTTTTGTATAACGATAGAAATAAAATAGAAATTATATAAATTTTATTTTATTTGGGTAACAGGGAAAGTGTAGTATAAGAATTGTTCTTGTTAAGCACCATCTGTGTTATTACTTATTATATGCAATGTTAAATATAATATCTGTGATATCCTTACGCTTTTTAAATTTTAAGTTACGTTTAATAATAATCATGGATCCGCCTCTACTTAAGTTCTTTCTTATGAACGAACTGACTATTACATAAGTTTCTATGTTGTTAATTGCTTCCCTAGTCTTTCAGCCAGTGCTCTGTAACACAAAACACGTCAACGGAAATATCGTGCAAAAAGACTTATTTCTAATGTTTTGCCAGAAAAGCCTTGAACATTTTGATGTACTACATAGAAACGATTAGACTTTTCTGTTGTCGTGTTTTTTAGTTTAAATTATGGTTAGTAAAAAGTATACTGTTGCTACTTAAAGTAGGAGCATTGTCGTGGGACTGTGTTATATTTTCTATAACAGCGTCCTTAATATTAAAAGATAGCAAACTAGCTACATGTCTCAGATACCTTATGGGTAAAAGTAAATTATCCTCAAAAAGTTTGAAGTTCCTTACGAACTTATTAATGTCAGAACAAAATATAACGTCACTATGACGGCAAGTCAAATTATGAATGTGCGAATTTATGTTATGTATATACTTATTAAGAGCGATGCCTAGGTTAGAGCAGTAAGGGAATGCACTTAGTATGAATTTACACCCACACTTCTCATGAATTCTCAAGAACACGTCAATGCTACTATTTACTTCTTTTTTACTAATGTTATTACTATCACCTATTATAAGAATCACTGTTGTATATTTATCAAAGTTGCAACCACTTAACAGTGTAATAATTTGACTAAAAGTAGCTCCTGGATAGCAATAGTTGACTACCCTTTGTTTTAAGTGGTTACTTAGGTGGTGTCCTAGTCCTACGCCTATTTTATCAGAAAAAAACTACCGTTCTTCTGGATGACCTGGTAGGAGTTCTAATAGTCTTGGTTGACCGTTGACTATGTCGAACTTCAACTGTTGTAGTGGAGCAGATACGTTTTCCTGCAGCAACGCTGGCATACGATGCCCGTGCTGGTTGCGTTGATGGTGTGGGTGGTGGGGATGGAGTCTGATTTATTTCTACTGGATCATTTGTTTCACTAAGCTCATTCTGAAGAAGGACTTGAGTAAGTTCTCTATACTCAGTACCCAGCTTTAAAAGCTCATTAGTTGCAGCTGAAAGTTCTTCTAGTTGTTTCTGCGTAGAAAGTAGGTCTTTAGTTCGCAATTGAAGATCTAACTCTAGATCTTTCACTTGTTCGGCCATCTTTACTTTGTCCTTGTGTAAATTTAACTTTGCTGATTTTAGTTTCTTAAGTGTTTTCGATTTCTTTCTTATCAGGTTGGTTAATTTGGAAAATCTTGGGTCTTGCGATTTTGTGCTGCACAATTTACTGTTGCATACATTCCTGTCTCCTAGGGCTAGTTCATCACGGAGTGACAAGGTTGTTAGGTGGTCGCAACTTCCGCTTTGTTCGTGTAATAATGCAACTTCAGCATTTGATTCCTTTACCTGTCTTTCAAGAAATCTGATACGGTCTAAGGCGTCTTCGTGTTCCTGGTGATTTTCTCGAAACCTCTCCATAATTAATTCCTTACGTTTGCACTCTTTTTCTAATTCATCACAAAATCGTCGAATTTCATCAAATTTCCCTTTTAATGTCATACGTGAAGTCTTGAGCGCCTGCATTTCCATTTCATATACATCGCGTTCTTCAAGAAGCCTATCTGTCAGTGCTTTCAGTTCATTGAGCTCCGCTTCCATCTTCTTGTTCTTTTCTTCAGACAACATTCTCCTGGTCATCATGTTGTACTGGATATCGCGTCACTGGAATGTATCAAATGGAATGTAAGCGCACAGAATGTACTTAAAAGAATATAATAAATTATGTACGCAGGCCTCTTCCAAATACGAAGTTCCTACTAGCACAGTGAGCTATTGTCTATTTATAATCCTTAATCCATAAGATAATTGTAATGAACCAGGGTTGTCTGGTCTGTTTTACCTAAAACATACAAATCTCACTCACAAAGTTTATGTACGGAAAGAATATTAATAAAATTACACTTATATATATATATATATATATATACATATATACGAGGTATTGTTAATAAAATTATGTATTATATAATAGTTATAGGTCTCAGGCGTGCACTTTATGTATGTATGTCTATATTATACAAGCAAATACATCAAGTCTACTTCAAATGTATTGAAGTAAATTGAGACCCGCTTGCAAACATACGACAGTTATTGTAGTGTTAATGTGTTTATTGATAGCTACTTATATACGTAACGGTAATCAACTAAAGTTAAAAACTGTCTGTGCTAAATTTTCTGTGTAATAATAATAATGCAAATAACTAAATAAAAGTGTTTTAATGGAATGTGTGAAGGTACGTTGTCTCCGAGATTCGCTTGACAAAAGTCAAGCAAAAGGAGACAAGTGCAGTATTGCGTTGTATGTATGTAATTTATAATTTGTGTTATGTTATGGGACTTAGGTAAAAGGAAAAAAAATAGTATAAAATTATATAATAGCAATAATAAAATAATAATAATGAAAAGAGAAAAAGAAATACTCCCCAGGAAACCCTTCTGCGTCTGAGATGCGAACCGCGGGCGGTGAAAACTGAATCCGGCCGCTATCCCGCTAGACCAGTGCGCACACAAGTTGCACCGGCAAAATTATGGTACAGTTTTGTATTCAGCTGTTATCTATTCAATGTTGCGACGAAGTGGGTAATAGCAAGACACTTTTTTAACGAACGGTAGCAACGACGCAACGAGTCTCCTTTTTTAAAAAACACTTTTAATCCTGTAGTTTTGATTAATTTCACAACACTCACTGATTTTGCAGGAATATATCACGAAATTTTACTCTTTATTACTAAAATTTAAAGTCATACACAGGTTTAACAGTCGTAGAGAGAAAATTTTGTAGCCGATATATAAGCACTAAAATTCCTTAAAGTACTAGGTATTTCACGATGATAATAGTTTTCTTGTATCTACGCTCGTCAGCACGCACACCAACGTTCAGACGTTCCCACGAAGATGGATTGGCCGATTAGGACCAATTTTGTGGCCACCGAGATCACCTGATCTGAACCCCCTCGACTTCTTCTTTTGGGGGTGCTTAAAAGATAAAGTTTACTCCAAAGCTATCACTACAGAAACCGAACTACGACGACGAGTCTATGAAGCAGCTCGAGTAATTTCTCAAATGAGTTTGAGGTGTCTGAGAAGCTCATTCATCAAAAGATGTCGCATGTGTATTAGAGTCAGAGGGAGGCAATTTGAACACTTGCTATAATATCTAATAAAAATTAAATTATTTAAATTTTATTGCTTTATTTTCCATTAAGTAAAAACGGCGACAAATCAAGCGACACACAAAGGCACTCTACCACGATATTAGTAGCTAAATCCGCATGCTTTTGGGAAGTTTGATTTGTCACAGTTTGTTTGTACCAGTTCAGAGAGAGAAAGAAAAGCCTAGTAACTATCTCACTCCTTTATTACGAATACAACGTGGGAAAAAGATTGACGCGCCGTTACCTAGCGCTTAGCAATTAATTCATTTAAAAGTTTAAATTTAATTTTGTTTCGAAACTGATTAGGCTGGTAGGGTGTTATGACGAAAAATAAATTAAATGACTACGTTATTGTGAAAAATCTCAATAATATTGTACCATTCCTGATTCTGCATTAAGTGGAGCAATTTTTAAGATCATTTGCAAATTCAGTTTCATACATTTTTTTTTCGCACTAGCTATTCAAAGTTAACGTTTAACTTTTTACAAGGGTACGAGGTATACCAAATTAATAACTTTTTTCACATTTTATGACATTTATCAGACAAAATATTAGTTGCAGTACCTGGAAAAACTATTCAAGTTACCTGAAAAATAAAAACAACTACCATCTGGAGCTAACCCTGGCAATAGTAGCAAAAAACTCAACAAAAAGTAGAGTTATTCCAAAAAAATAAAAAAGTGCAAATATCTCGAAAACTAAAAGACTTTTACTAAGGTCAAATTATTTTTTTTCTGGTAGATATATAGCTCACCTACCCACAGTGTCGCTCTGGCGTGTTATTTTTGGGACACCCTGTATATTTATAATGGCTACTTTTAACTGGTCCGGAAGTTCCTTCAAGAAAAGATTGATTCACTAGTAGGTAGTACGGCAAAGTTAGTTCATCAGCACACATTTTGATCAATTTTGGGGGTATGTCGTCAATTCCATAGCTATGTTTATTGTTTAGGTTGCGGATTATGTTTTTTATTTCTTGTGGTGAGACGGGGGTAAGGTACGTAGGTCACTCAATAAGTTTTGAGAAAAAGAAAAAATATCAAACATATTAATATAATTTATTTTACATTTTTTCAAAATACTCTCCATCATTATCTACCCAAAGTTTCATTCGTCTAAACCAACTCTGAAAACACTTTTGCCAGTCTTGATCCGTCAGCATTGAAATTGCCATTTCGTAGGCAGCTACTGCTTCTTCGACACTCAAAAAAAAAATTTTCCTTTGATTTTATCCTTCACTGTTGGGAACAAAAAGATATCGCAGGGAGCCTAGTCAGGGCTGTACGGCGGGTAATTTAAGGTTTCTATACCAGATTCCTCAATAAACGCCTTTGTTCTGAGGGACGTATGTGAAGAGGCGTCGTTATCGTGATGTAGCATGATTCCCCGAAGCCCGGTCTTTGGTCTCCTCTCCCGCACAGCTTGGAAAACTTTTGGCAGTGCTACTGTTGTGTACCATTCTGAATTAACAGACCTACTATTTTCTAACATTGACGTCGACAAATGTCCGCTCCGAGAAAAAAAACTAGCTACCATTTTTTTGCCGACGTTTCGAGCTCTTTGCAACTTTGTCGGTAATTGTCCCTCTGCGAAGACCCACACCGACGACTGCTTCTTGCTTTCTGGATCATATTGATAGATCCATGTTTCATCACCAGTAACGATTTCTGAAACACGTCTCGATGTCCCTTTTTCGAAACGTATAAGCATTTCTCGGCACCAATCCACTCGAGCCTGTTTTTCAGCACCGGAGAGCAATCGTGGGATCCATCGACAACAAAGCTTCCTCACTCCAAGATGCTGATGCAGGATAGTATTGACGCTTCCCGAACTAATGCCTAGGATCTTCTCAATGTTCGTGTACGTGATTCGTGGGTCTTCTCGCACCAACATTTCAGATGCCCACACATTTTCTGCAGTTACTGCTGTTTCCGGGCGTCCGCCTCTTAGGTCATCTTCAAGGTTAGTTTTGACTCTTTTAAATTCCTTAAACCACCTAAAAACTGTTGCACGAGAAGGAGCAGAGTCCTCTAATGCTGACTGCAAACGTTCCAAACTCAATTGTTCAGTTAAACCACATTTAAAATCATAGAAGATCATAGTACGCAAATGTTCACGGTTAAGATCCATTATTGTAAAGAAAAAGCGCGGGAAGCGTTGTAGTAAAATGACTAACAATGTCATTTTTTTTTAAATTTAGCTAAATTGCTTTTGGTGATCTATTTTTAAATAAATTTGCTTTTTAAAAACATATAATACGGGTGTGTTCCATTTTTATATTTCGAGCATCTCAAAACTTATTGAGTGCTCTACGTACATGGTGTTCTCAGTTTGATTAACTATAGGTTGCCTACATCTTGAGTTAGATGCCCCCCCTTCTCCCACTGATGCGAAAAAATTATTGAATGTATTTGCAACTTGCAGGGGGTCTCGCTTATATTTCGGTTTTTTACAGATAATATTATGTTTTCTTTACTTTTTATAACTGTTTTGTTAGTAGTTTCCCTAATTGTTCTCCAGACGCTTTTTACAATATTACTTGAGTTTTTAATACGCGCTGCATAATATAAACGTTTAGCTTGATTTACTGACCGTTTTAGAATTCGGTCATATAGCTTAATATAGTGTTTGCGGAGAATAGGGTTTTTTGAATTGTTTGAAACAAGTAATTTTAAATATCGTTTATTTTTGCACGATGTTTTTATTTCCCGGGTTAACCAATGATTTTTGTGTTTATTACATAATTTAATTGTCCTTTTAGGTATAAATTTATTTAAAATATTTTTTTTAATGTCAATAAATATATTATAATTTTTATTTATGTCATTATTTAAGTTAAATATGTTATACCAGTCAATGTCCATCAATTCCGATTTAAAATTAGTCATATTTTTTATAGTAAAAAAGCGTTTCTCTGTTATCCAAGAAATAACAGCCTTATGTGCTAACTCGTGGATTTTTATGAGTACGCCTTTGTGGTCGGAAAAGCCTAGATTCTGTACTGAAGTGTTTAGTGCATTTGTGTCAAAATTATAAAATATTAAGTCTATACATGTAGAAGTGTTAGTAGTTTCACGTGTGGGTTCCTTAATTAATTGTTTAAAATTATACTCTA